ATATGGGGAAAACAAGAGTTTGTACGAGCCGGATCTTTGTGGCTTTGGTAACGCTTCTGTTATAATATATAATAATTTTTTATAATTTATAATTCTATTTTATAATTTTTTATTATATTTTATAATTTATATTCTGTTATAATTTATAATATATAATATTATAATAGTACTTAATAATTTTAATCATGTTTTTTGTGTTAACGAGTCAGGCGTTTTGGTGCAAACTGTAATGCCGAGTTTACATTACGAAATTAGTGTCATGCATGTTGAGCTCAGTTTCACGAAAGTAGTTTCGATATATGCGAAAGTAATTTCGTTAAAAAACTAGTGTCGCGAAATCCACAGTATCGCAGTAACCAGCATCAAAGCTATAATTTGCTATATTCAATGTAGCTAAAGAAATGCTTATATACCTATAAACTTAAAAAAAGACTATCAAGAAAAAAAAAGTTGGTAGATTCCAGGATGGTCAACAAGAAGGCATTTAGGTGCATTGAAGTTAGTCTCTGAATTAGCAGATGAAGATCCTGAGAGTTATAAAAACTATTTTCGAATGAGTAAAGATAATTTTGATTTTTTACTGTAGGTGTTTCGGGATCTTTGTCATATTCATTAATAAGATCTATATTTTTTTCTGTACTCCATCGTTGGTTTGCCATTTTCAACGCTCGAAGCGCGCGCGAGCTGACAATACACACGTCCGCACAGCGCAGGCCCTTTCGCGACATTAGTTTCACGTCGCGTCTACACTATGAAATTAGTTGCATGACACTAATTTCACCAAAAAATCGCGCAGGGCACGAAACTAATTTGCATGCATGAAATTAATGCATGCATTACGAAAGTACTAAATTACACGTGAAACTGTTGGTAAAACTAATGTCACGAAATTAATTTCATGCCACTAATTTCGTAATGTAAATTCGCCATAATGCGGAGTTTACATTACGAAATTAGTGTCATGCATGTTGAACTCAGTTTCACGAAAGTAGTTTCGATATATGCGAAAGTAATTTCGTTAAAAAATTAGTGTCGCGAAATCCACAGTATCGCAGTAGCCATCGCGCCTTCAGCATCAAAGCTATAATTTGCTATATTCAATGTAGCTAAAGAAATGCTTATATACCTATAAACTTAAAAAAAGACTATCAAGAAAAAAAAAGTTGGTAGATTCGAGGATGGTCAACAAGAAGGCATTTAGGTGCAATGAAGTTAGTCTCTGAATTAGCAGATGAAGATCCTGAGAGTTATAAAAACTATTTTCGAATGAGTAAAGATAATTTTGATTTTTTACTGTAGGTGTTTCGGGATCTTTGTCATATTCATTAATAAGATCTATATTTTTTTCTGTACTCCATCGTTGGTTTGCCATTTTCAACGCTCGAAGCGCGCGCGAGCTGACAATACACACGTCCGCACAGCGCAGGCCCTTTCGCGACATTAGTTTCACGTCGCGTCTACACTATGAAATTAGTTGCATGACACTAATTTCACCAAAAAATCGCGCAGGGCACGAAACTAATTTGCATGCATGAAATTAATGCATGCATTACGAAAGTACTAAATTACACGTGAAACTGTTGGTAAAACTAATGTCACGAAATTAATTTCACGCCACTAATTTCGTAATGTAAATTCACCTTAAGCCTGACTTTGTATTGAATGGAATAAATAAATAAAGCAGTTATTGTCGCTTAGTCACGTTTGCCGTTCAAGCGTCGATATAATAAGAGTTTCTAGATGTACAGGTAATCAATTAGGTCAGATGATTTGTTCTTTGGGTGGTCTGGTCGTCTAGTCTTCTAGTTTGATGATGTGAGGTGTGGGTGTGAGCAGGGGCGCGGTGTTGTCAGCGTGCCCGCGCAGAGGTCGCATCTCCGCGCCAGAACTGTCGCTCACCATCACCGTCTCTTGTGGGCAACACGATGTTTTCATCGACACTGACTCCGTTGATCTCTTGTGACTCTGAATAAGAGAAAGGAAAAGTTCAGGACATAACATTTTAAAAAGGCCTGTTGTCTAACATGTGCAATTATTAGTGATTAGTGCTAAACAAAATGCTCTGAGTGTAGTGACATCGGCACGTGTCTAATGATATAAAAAACTTCAGAGGTGTCAAGGGACACCCGGATGGAACGAAGTTCCTTTCGATTAATTAGTGAAGGAATTGTAATATTTTTTTTAAGTTATAATAATAAATTACGGCATTATGAAGAAGAAAAAAACAATACTATGAACTAAATTACTATTGTTGAAACGCTATCTCGAGAAACTGTACTCATTACGGGGACCAATCGGATACGAGCAATGTCACGTGATAAGTGCCTACTCGTTGATTGGTCAGAATGACGGATCTAAAAAGTGTCGTGACAACTTTTCGTAAGAATTTTTTCCGTCTAGCCCCTTTCACAACGCGCGATAAGGAACTTCGTTCCAAAAATACTAACAAAATTCAGAAAAGAAACCGATAGCAAGATAGGTACATCCACGGGTACATCATTTCACGATTCACGTCATTTAAGGTAGTGATCAGAACCTATACCAGTCGGAACTACCGGCCAACCACATCGCGGCTGGCATAGCTCCGTGGACGCCAATGTCGCGTTGCTTCCGTATTTAAATTCCGAGGCAGGTACTAATTTTTCTAATGAAATACATATTAAACATATTTATGCTCACGATTGACTTCGACGGCGAAGGAATCACATCATTTATTAAATATCAAACTTGCAAAAAATTTTATTTGCAAAAAGGCTCCGAACGATTAGCTACCACCATCCTACCTATTTCTGCCGTGGAGAAGTCATGCGTTTCGGTTTGAAGGGCGGGGTAGCCGTTGTAACTATACTGAGTCCTTAGAACTCATATCTCAAGGTGGGTGGCAAATTTACGTTGTAGATGTCTATATACCCAAAATTAAAGTATCTTTTTATAAATATATATTTATTTCTATCAATCAAAATATGCACCCGTGGTATATCTCTGCAGCGCAGTGGCAGTTTTTTAATGGCCTTTTTGGAGAGGTTAAGTGTTCGGGAGCCAACAAACTCTTCAAAGGTCTTTTGTGCTGCTTCTCGGGTATTGAATTTATTCCCTCCCAAAATTTTGTTTAAACTATAAAAAAAGGAGAAGTTTGAGGTGTGAGGCCGAACGTTGTCGTATAGGAGTAGCGGATACAAGCCATTATCCAAGGGCTTCACCATGATTATGTCCAGTTCCTGGCAGTAGGTACACGTGTTGAATTGGCACTAGCCCACTAAGCAGTGGTCATGATTTTTTTAGGGATAAGTTTTGGTTTGGGACATTGCTTAGGTGTTGAACCAGGGTTTAACCGACATGATTACTGCTTAATAAAAAGATTTTTTTTTTATTGCTAGTGACAATATGGTTCTGAAATACCTTCATATTAAGCAACGCAAGGCATAGCTTAACGTGTTCGTTACGCTGGAAATCGCTCAGTTCGTACGGCACACACTAGTCAAATTTCCGTACATACCGTGTGAATTTGTCGCATATCGACCAATATGGTTTTGGTACTAACACTGAAAGCTGCTGCTAGCTCAGCGGTAGATTAAGTACCGTCAGCTTCCACTTTATTATCAGCCCACAGGCGTCCACTGCTGGACATAGACCTGCCCCAAGCCTCGCCACAAAGACCGGTCCTGTGCTGCCTGCATCCAGCGGATCCCCGTGAACCTCGATAGATCGTCAGTCAATCTTGTGGGAGGTCTACCCACGCTACGTCTTCCAGTACGGGGTCACCGCTCAAGAACTTTCTGGCCCCAACGGACATCCGTTCTACGAGCAATGAGCCCACTGCCACCTCAATGTCGCAATCCTTTGGGCTAAGTCGGTTACCATGGTTTTCCAGCGAATCTCCTCATTTCTGATTTTATCTCGCAGGGAACTTCCACGTTCGCCTTTAATTCGTTGTTGTTGACTTTATTTTTCGGGTGATCATAGAGTTCATTTTTAGATCAAATTTTCCATGTCGGAAGCAAGCAAACCAATAACGAGTCGCGCGTTCGTTCGTAGTGCTCACTCCGTACAAGTCTCTAATGTTGTGAGTCGTTTGTGCAGCATTCATTGCCACCACGACAATACTCTTATTCCATAATTACTCGTAATTATATCGCGTCCATATTGAAGAAAAATATACAAACTTCATAGGTTTCAACCTATTGTCAAAGCTAGTAATGATAAGCAAAAAACTCGCTCATCCAAGATTTCTTATCAGGTACATTTTGTCCAATACCAACAGTAATGTTAGGAAATGGTGATACTCTTTAGATCTTATACAGCGAATTGCAATCTCAGGCAGGAAACAAACCGTTGTTGTATAATGCTGTAGACTGGACCGTTGATTGTATTGTAGTTAGTTCTGTCTCAACTGGAGCTCAACTAATGTTTCACTAATTCTAGTTCAATTAGGTTACAGGGGCCTGCCTGATATGCTCATCTCGATTGTCACTACATCAAGTTAGTGAAATAAAATAAACAATTTAAAGTGAAAGTAATTTCAAACAGGACAGAACCACGCCGTGTCCAGTGACAGTAATTATTTATCCAAGGGAAATTGTTGCGAACTTTTGAATGAATTTTACTATTTGTATTTATGTTTGTCGGCTGGACTACCGGTATCTTAGAGTGATGAAGCCGACAAGCTTAACACACATTTATCATGCAACAAAACATGCAGGAATTTCAAGTGATTGATTACCTATTTCATATGGTTAAATTTCGAGGGGTGTAAGAAGACAATTCTTTAGCTGTACCGACAGGGTCCATAGACTGCAGCCACATGCCTTCATCTGTTATTTTTGATGGTACCTAGTGATTTCACGATAGGTATATGATAGGATTATGTGAGATGATGCCATATTTCAGAAATAAAACACGTGACAAAAGATTAAGAAATTCGTGAGAAACCCCGCTGACTAATATTGATGAACGACACCAAGTAATCGATTATATTCTATTTTTTAGTTTAATAATTTATGAAATAACTAATTCAAGGAGAAGATTGTAACTATAAGATTAATACAAATAATACATTTGGTTAAAGAGATTTTTTTTGTTAAAATAGGCAAAATACGAACCCTCTTAAAACAATGCGCGATGCTGTGACACAGAGTGGAGGGAGATACTCTTCGACGTTGCCTCATGAGCACGTACAATATGNATTCTATTTGTTAGTTTAATAATTTATGAAATAACTAATTCAAGGAGAAGATTGTAACTATAAGATTAATACAAATAATACATTTGGTTAAAGAGATTTTTTTTGTTAAAATAGGCAAAATACGAACCCTCTTAAAACAATGCGCGATGCTGTGACACAGAGTGGAGGGAGATACTCTTCGACGTTGCCTCATGAGCACGTACAATATGGGATTGAGCACGTAGTTGAGCAGCATCAGGACATCAGACAGATCGCCTAGCAGACCCAGCCGCGGCCACGCGGGCGGGCCCAGCGACAAGTACAGAGCCGAAGTCACCTGGAACCATGCTCCACTTTATGTAACAAATAAGTACCTATGGCGTATCACGACGGATCGTAGCAGGTCATGCTCGATTTTTACGAGAGCATCATCTTCAGGTGGCGGCATCAGCAGATGACGGGGCATTTAAGGACAGTGTCCTTGTCTTTCCGCACGAAGGCGTCGCTGTAGAGGCCGGGATCGGGATAAAAATCTCTCCTGAATCCTGGTCCCCTTAGTATTTTGGTACTCTCTGTGGCAATTTAGGAATCAATGAGCGAGACAAAAAAATACCTCGTAATACCTACTTATACGCGTTTTGAAAAATAGTAAGTCAGTGATGGATAACTGCACTTTCCGACCCAGCGAAGTGGTACGAGATGGCGGTGCCTTTGCTGACTTGGAGCAACTCGCCAACCAAAAGAAGCTAGTAGCGCCGGCGACCGCTTGTTTGGCGTGTAGGGTAGGGAGGTGAGATTTTTACCCCCCGTCTGCCTCGGTTAAGTTCAACTCCGACATACTCAGACTTTTAGGTAGGCAGCAGCTTGGATCTGCCCCTGGCATTGCTGAAGACCATGGGCGACGGTGACCACTCACCATCAGGTGGGCCGTGTGCTCGTTTGTCTACAAGGGCAATAAAAAAATACACGCATGTTGAAAACGTAATCATCTCGAAGAATAGCTTATCTACAAAAATAACTGTTTTATTGAGTTTACTATAGTAGGTACGCATATATCATCAGTGGGACAACCTACCCACTCAAACAAATTGCATTTTCTCGAGATAAGGAGTTTCTTCATTTGCTCTCTGCTTCATACAAACAAACATCTGCTTCAAACAAACAAACATTCTGCTTTGTAAAATTAAGTATATAGATTTAATTTAAAATAGATTTAATTTAAAATTAATTTTAATGATCATATTAATAATATCAGCAAAATTCATTGATTAATATCGTTATTCAGTATAATGATGAGTATATTGCTGTGTAGCTGTAAACAGCTGACAATCGGTCTCTCTGTGTCATTGACTTTTATGTATTCAGTGTATTTGATTAATTGATTAGTACATCGGTAATAGCTTTGATTTATAATCAGTATTTATGTATTACTAGTGGTCCCGCAGTAGTCGAAATTCGACTATAATTAATTGAAATTATAAGTATAAACATTATTATGGTCCTATTGTTACAGATTTCGCCAAGACTACACTTAAGACAAATACGTCTCGTAATATTAAAGATAAACAATACTAACCTATTATCAATTTGACTACAGACTTTAAGCAATAACAAAAGTTTGACAATAAACAAAAAGTATATGTGTGTGTGTCAAATACATGGTAGTGTGTGTAATGTTTTCTTTATCGATTTAATGTATCTTTTATGTATTATTTATTATATTTATAATGCAACTCGTTCCTGTACATTCATTTTGATATTACTTTAAGATAAGCGGAAGTATGGGAAATATATTATTCCAAAACCGCAAAATGAATAAAGTATTAAATTAATTAAAGACATAATAAAACTTACAAAAACAGAAAAAAATGAGTTTTTACAAAAACAATTCGTCGATATATATTATAATGTTGTCAGGCAAGGCCTATGACGGGAAAAAATTTATATAGACATATCTTACACGTATTCACGAAGAAGGGATAACATCGTATAGCAAAAACGACATCTTGCGTATTTTATAAATTATTAAATTGGCGTAATGGCGATGGTGAGGAGAGCTGTGAGCCCGCGCGTGTAGGGAACACAATAAGTGACGGATTTAGGCCTGAGGCCACCCTAGGCCGTGTTTGTCGGACCGCCCTTAATGTTACAATAAATTAAATTAAATTTGACCCAATATTTTGATTATAAATTCAAAATAACTTTACAAAAAATATTTTAAGGAGATTGTCTCTGAAATTTTGGCAATTATAAAAATTTTGCCGCCCTATGCACAGGCCTCACGCGGGGCCTAAGCGTAATTCTATGACTGAACACAGCACTATCTCTGCCGCCAGTGGCCATGCGCGTCGATAGAACATCTATTACACGATACAATCAAGACTGCGACTTCTTCAGTTACAAGATAATAATATTAAATGAAGGATGAGCTCGTCTGTCCATCTAGAGCAACAAAATACCTTGAAATATATTTAAAAAGAAAGATTTACAACACCCGTGCATATTATATATATTTCTTAAGCACGTGAGACTATTTAAAAGAGCTCCACAGATTTCATTATCATCTGGCAGAACGAAAATAATAAAGTAACTTAAACTATTAAGTAAGTAAGTAATTAAGATTAAACTATTAATTCCAGTTTGTATCATATATATATATATCATATATATATATATAATGTATATGTATGTATATTTGCGGCGCCTCTACGAAACTATACTACGATATAAATACTTTCAGATTGTCTATCTGATCATGAACTTATTTTTCGTGGTTGTTTATGAACCTAACATTGAGAAATTACTTCTCTGTTATTAAAGTCATTATCATATCTCCGGCCATCAGTATGCAGGCGACATCGAAGTGCCGTTTGGCAAAAATATCTCATTGTTCCAATAATGATATTCAAATAAATGTTACATTATATTCGCATGCTATTGTCGACAGTGTAGTTCAGGATTCTGACCCTGACTGAGTTTACCCTACGGCAAATATTCTGATCCTGTTTCTGATCCGTATCTTAGACAGGCAGGCAGACCACCGACCTCGAATACTATGAGGCTGCGGAGTGCCCACACACATCATATTGATATTATGAATGGCTTAGACNGATATTCAAATAAATGTTACATTATATTCGCATGCTATTGTCGACAGTGTAGTTCAGGATTCTGACCCTGACTGAGTTTACCCTACGGCAAATATTCTGATCCTGTTTCTGATCCGTATCTTAGACAGGCAGGCAGACCACCGACCTCGAATACTATGAGGCTGCGGAGTGCCCACACACATCATATTGATATTATGAATGGCTTAGACATTAGTCCTCCTGTAAGTTAGGTCAAATGTTTGAGCGGCGCATCTTGGCACTACTGACGAGAAGTGGTAACTTCCATCCATCAGATTTCTAGCGAGGCCATTAAAAGTGTGGAAAAATAAATTTTAAATATCTAATAATTTTTTTAATTGCTGAGATGGGTGGACGAGCTGGTGGTGTTAAGTGGTTACTGGAGTCCATAGACATTTACAAAGCAAATGCGCCACCCACTTTGAGATATAAGTTCTAAGGTCTCAGTATAGTTACAACGGCTGCCCCACCCTTCAAACGCATTACTGCTTCACGGCAGAAATAGGCGGGGTGGTGGTACCTACCTTCGCGGACTCACATGAGGTCCTACTACCTGTAATTACGCAAATTATAATTTTGCGGGTTTGATTTTTATTACACGATGTTATTCCTTGACCGTGGAAGTCAATCGTGAACATTTGTTAAGTACGTGAAAAATTGGTACCCGCCTGCGGGATTCGAACACGGGTGCACTGCTACATACTAATGCACCCGACTTCTTCTCCTTTAGGCCAAGACGACTTCAAATATAATTCAAGCTAGCGTCTTTTAGCTCCATGATGTCAAAAAAATAGAGGTTATATGTAGATATGTGGACATACCTAACTTAAAGCGATCGTTTATCTGTTCTATAATATATTTGGTGTTGAATAGATAATCGATTGAGTGCCTCATTCGTGATTCTAAGCTCGTGTCTCCAGCCTTCTACGACGCATACGCGTACTGCTACTGCTACTTATTGAAATAAATGTAATTGAGAAAAATACCTATATGAGTGAATCATGATTTTAAATAGCTTTTAAAAAATACGAAGTAAACTGTAGAGAAATGAGCACATAGCGCGCATGCCAACCTAGACTATTAAAATCATGGTCCTTTTTAAATTCACCGCAACCGGATCTTCCATCGAGGGTTGGCATACAACAAGCACTACTCCTATCCCTAAGGGCGAACTAGATGCTATGATGAACTATATCTAAATATAAAATAACCTTCGCGGCAAGGACGTAAAACTTCGCGAGCCGCGATTTGGCATTCCTTTTTATCGCGTCATAAGTTCGAAGAATAATAATTTGTATCACTTCGTCGCAACAAAGCAGTATTTAAAAGCTATAGTCGATTCGAAAAAAACATTGATATCTTGGTAACGTCATGTTAACTTAACTCACTTGTGCAGGCCTACTTGTATGGATTCCACGATGAATGCCACGGTCCTGCCTATATTTTAAGGTATAGGTAAGGTAATAGTTTAAGGGTAAGAGATTGTAGGATAATATAAACACATGGAGACTCAGTTTTCAAGATGGATGGTGGCATTCATAATTTGTGGTCTATGAGCTCCGGTAGCCACTTAAGATCAGGTGGGCAGTATGACCGCTCACCCGGCTATGCAAAAAATATATTCGTCTCAGCCATGTTTGGTGAACCACAGAGGGTTTCAGTCGGTTCATCTCCGACTTGCGCCGCCTTACGCTCTCTATGTGTAGGCACAATTCCAACGATTTTCAGCCGGATCTAAAAATCTATACTAATATTATAAAGAGGAAAGATTTGTTTGTTTGTTTGTTTCGAATAGGCTCCGAAACTACTGGACCGATTTGAAAAATTCTTTTTCCATTAGAAGCCGACATTGTCCCTGATGAATACTTCTATTCTATATCGTTCCCTCACTACTGAGGATCGCGACCACATGCGATGTACTTCCAATGCACCCGATCGTGGGTGGCATGGACTGCATGGTACAGACTACCACCGAGTGCTTCTCTTGCCAGATCTGACCATCTGGCTGGTGTTCTGCCCACGGCGCGCTTGCCTTCTATTCGACCCGTACGGGTGATGAATATAGGCATACTTTTTTTTTTTTTTTTATTTTTTTTTTTTTTTTCATGTGTGTTTTAATGTTTCCGAAGCGAAGTGAGGGCGGGTCGCTAGTATCATAATAAAAGTGAACGAAACGGCCATTATGTTAAACATACATATTTAATTTTACAGTTGACTGCACTCAACATTTCAAACGCACCTACTTACTTAATTCTTTACCTATAGGTACGTATCCACAGTGCTGGAATGTCCTGGGATTTGAGAAAAGTGATATTAACCCTTTAAATTAAATTAACAAACTAAGCTAGGACAATAATTATGAAATAAATTCATATTTTACTAAAACTAATGTTTCATATATATAAAAATGAATTGCTGTTCGTTAGTCTCGCTAAAACTCGAGAACGGCTGGATCGATTTGCCTAATTTTGGTCTTAAATTATTCGTGGAAGTCCAGAGAAGGCTTAAAAGGTAGATAAATATGAAAATGCTCGGAATTAAATAAAAATAACAATTTTGTTTTTCCTTTGATGTGTCCCCCGTCGGACGGATTCCTTTTGTTTGATTTTAAGTTTACTTTATACAAAAGCTTAGGTATTTTATTTATCGATTGAGGCAGTACTAAAAGTCCTGACTTGTATGCCAGCGCCTGGCTATCTGCGTAATGATCCATCAATTCGCATGCATTGTTCTTTCAATCGAATTGTTTATATCGAGTGATCAATAAAAACCGGTAATTGAACGTGTTCAGAATGTTAATGACTTGTTTTTCAAGCGCTAATCATGGGAATTGATTTCCTTTATCGTTTTATTTGAACATTACGTAAGGTAATCAAATGAGATCATCTTTGGGTGGATTCAGTATGAAATCTGGTTTAACAGCTTTTGTTTTGCTGCGCGATGCAACTTTATTAACCCTCCCTCCTTCCCCGAAGCACGATTTCGCTTTTAATCATAAGTAATCAATGAATTTGAATACCTTCATCAGCAAAAATGGTAAAGGTTCATTTTATTTATACCATATTTACCGGAGTTTACCTGCACAGCCCGTCGAATGAGTAGTGACAGTATAATATGGTGGTTAGGCGTGTGTAAGGGATGTATAAAGTCTTCGTGACCTTAATTGAACCCTAAGCCATCTAATATTGAATGTAGATCTCTTGCGTGCGTGTTCATCTTTGTACTATTCACGAAACTCTCATTAGCTATTTTTTGCATAATGAAGTCAGTTTTTTCTCTTTCCCATAGGCTTAGTCGAACGACATCTTCGCAGCAGAACTAAGCAGGATTGTGATATCTACTTTTGCGGACAACACGTCCTACTGACAGCAATAACCCTAATTTAATTTATTTTATTTTTATTACTCAACTTTATTCCTACATCGTGAAAGTTGTACACAAGCATGCGTTGAGATCATATTTTTTTAGAAAAAATTGTACCTATCCGCTGAATATAAGCACTGGCATAGTCGCTTCGCTTGATATGAGTGAATTCCCCAGCTCTCTTATCCCTTAGGCCAATTAGTCATGACTTCACAACAATTACAGATAGTCACAGAGGAGAGTACTTATTTATATGTTTTATTAAGCTCCATTAGATCCTTAGACGAGCGGTCGGTTTTCGGCACTTATTTAAAGTAGAAGTATTTGCATGTAATTACCAATTTATAATGTTTTGAAGGTCAACTCACCAATTGCGGTAGCCAGCATATCATGAACAGCACCGAAAGCGTCGCCATGAGTCTACTGAAAGCCACCTCCTCAGCCGTGGCTGCGTTGTGGTTCATAGACTGCAGGTTGTTTCCGGAGTTGAGGCTTCGCTGTCGCTGTCTGCAGCTGCTCTTGGACACCCGTCTGACGACCGGCTGCCCCCCGGCACGCGGCGCCGTGATCGCGTACAATGCTCTGATCACTGCGAGATTGCAGTACACCAGGATTACGCAGAGGAGGGTTCCTGTTGACAAATATTTATTTATTTTCTACAAGATGAACCAACAGCCAACTAACATAATATAATAATATAACAAATAATAGAAACAAAAAGGCAATTAAAGGTCCTCACCAATATAAACAAATTAAAACACTAGAGAAACAAAAACATAGAAATAAAGAAATTAATAACAAGCAGCAAGCAAGAAACAACATAAGCAAAGGAGGAATACACCAGACTAATTTAAATGTCACAAATTAATAAAAGTCGGTTGTGCTACACATCACCGGCACCGTCCCGTTATCACCTAGGAAAAATCGAGCACTAAGCTGACGTATCACCCCTGCGATAGAGGAATAAAATGGGTCCACATCTAACAACCTGCCAAGTCTGTTCAGGTCAAAAAGAATGAGTGGAAGCTAGGGGAGGAGAAATTAGATTTCGATGCCTTAAAGATATTAAAGATAATAAGAAGAACTTTAAAAGAAAAACTCTAAGTTGGAATGTGAAAGATAGAGGTTTGACATAAGTGTGTTCCCTCCCAGCAATTTGGAGTAGAGTATAGTTTATTGAACACAAAAATATAAATCGCTACCATCATGAGGTTAGCTTTCACGCTTTCATTTTTAATTCATTAAGAGGCATTTTTGTTTCAAAAATTTGTAATATCAATGAGTCGCTTAACAGAAATATGCAGTCAGTGTACCTAGTTCAAGAGTAATTTAGTGATTTCTCCGGTATTCTGAGCTGACAAAAAGCCGAAGGCGCTTAGAACTGGTTCCACAATCCGTCGTAATACCCCTGCGCCTGTCCAGTTCAAAAGCTAATATTATTATGATTATTATTTATATGTTCTTACTATTTATTTATGTAGATTGGCTGAAAGGTTCGCCTGGCGTTAAGTGGTAACTGTTCGTGTTATGATGTTTGAAAGTCACCCACTTTGATACTTGTATGTGTCGATATATGTATATATATCGACACATACAAGGAATAAAATCATGTTTAAAAAAGACTAAAGTACAATGTTTTTTTTGCACTTATCTATATTATAATGCATATATAATTTAATATGTTCCAGAACAACTTGGCGTCGCTCGGTGGAGCAGGAGCTAAGGATCTTGGGTATGAAGTGGGAGGAGCTAGAACAGACTGCCCAAGACAGATGCAAATGGAAGGATTTGATTTGAGCCCTACACCCCAGCAGAGGGTAATAGGAAAGAAAGAAGAGATTAATATATAATATATACATAATAATAATAACTAGAGGTCCCGCAGTAGTCGAATTTCGACTAAATTAATTGGAATTGTAAGTTTGTACACTATTATGATTGTATTTATAACTTCTATAATCACAAATTGCGCCAAGACTACACTATAAAAAATATTAACAAATGCAAACAATATTTAATCTATTCTCAATTTGACAACAGGCGCCAAGAACAAAAGTTTGACAATAAATAGTATGCATGCGTGTGTGCGTCAAGAACATGGTATGTAGTGTGTAATGTTTTCTTTATTGATTTAATGTATCTTTGATGCATTATTAAAAAAAAAAAAATTAGCATTGTGCACTTCTTCTCTATATTCTCTATAAGTGTGGAAAATATCATACTCCTCCGTCCGCGCAATTTTCGTAAAAAGGGATACAAAGTTTTTGCTTCACGTATTAATATATAGATATATACGCCCTTAAACTAGTTAGATCTATGTTTAAGATTCTATCATAAACACAACTAACAATTTACCAATTATATATATGGCACACACTTTACCGAGCGGAGTAGCGATACATTTGAACAGAAAATGTGTCTGGCATCAGGAGTGTCCAACTGACGGATGCCGCACAAACCTAGCTACCTAGTAGGGATGAAGGTCAGGCTTGCTGTTAGCTTCGCGACGTGCAGATGAATTTCGTAAAGGAAGTCTCGTTCTAAAATCCACAAACGGCAGACGTTGTGATATCCTGCATGCAACTGTTGAATACACTTTTTACTGGTGGTAGAACCTCTTGTGAGTCCGCGCGGGTGGGTACCACCATCCTGCCTATTTTTGCCGTGAAGCAGTAATCTGTTTCGTTTTGAAGGGTGGAGCAGCCGTTGTAACTATACTGAGATTTTAGAACTTATATCTCAAGATGGGTGGCGCATTTATTTTGTGGATGGCTATGGGCTCCAGTAACCACTTAACACCAGGTGGGCTGGGAGCTCGTCCAACCACCAAAGCAATAAAATAAAAAATGTCATGTATATACTCGTATAGTAAATCTGTAAACTTACGCAATGGACTTTCGTTTTATTCAAGTCTCGTTCGAAGCACTGAACTGGTTCGGAACCTGTTTAGGTGCTCTTTTGAGCTCTAGTTTAATAAAGTTATATTTCATCTAGTACTTATTTCAATACGGTAAAGACTTGATTCCGTGTTAACAGATTTCGATCAAGCATATACTTAGTCTGGCCATAAATACTGTTACAACAAAAATAAAAAAAAATTCTATTGCAAATAACATTTATTACTTTTATAGTGTGTTAGTTTAATACATAAATATAAAACAATTTAAAGTATAAAAAGCTTATTCGAAGTGGTCTCCACTGGCTGCAATACAGTCCTTTAAACGTTGAGGCCAGTTATCAACAGAAGCACGCAATTTTTCCATGGGAAAATTTTTCACTGCCAATCGTATGGATTGTTTTAGGAACTCCAAATTATCATGGCGTTTAGAGCAAGCCGTACTCTCTAAAACTGACCATAAATCATAATCCAGCGGATTAAGATCGGGACTAGATGACGGCCAGTCTTCAGCTCTGATGAAGTCCGAAACGTTCGTTTCCAACCAAGACTGCGTAGACCGAGCTTGATGACCTGGCGCCGAGTCTTGCTGGAAGGACCATTTCTTGATTATTGAACGTGGTGTTGTTAAGGGGCTTCACTACCTTCTCAAGAATGGTATCTTGATACACTTGTGCCGATGTTTTGATACCTTTTTCACAAAAGTATGGCTCAGTCACTCCTTCATAGCTAATACCCCACCAAACCATCACTGAAGTCGGATGGTGCCCACGTTGCACTCTGTCGACTAATTAGGAAGCTTCCTTAGAGCTTTGAGCATAAATACGGTCATTTTGTTTGTTAAAAATGTTGCTCAATTGTAAAAAAATTCTCATCCGTAAAAAAAAATATTCTATGACCTCCCTTTGCGTACCGCTTCAGTAGTTGTTTCGATTTTACCACCCTATTCTCTTTTAAATTATCAGTTAAGAAATGACCAGTACGTCTCTTATAGGCTGCAAGTCCTAAGTCATCTTTTGAAATACGCGACATGGTTCTAGGTGCGATCTTCATCTCCCGAGATAAAATCTTTTGCTTTCGGACAGGATTTCTTCGAATTCTTTCCCTTACTGCTTTGACCACCTTTTTCGTACGAACACGACGTGGACGGCCAGTTCTTTTTCTGTCACAAACAGAGGAGGTCTCATTGCACCTATTAATAGCCCGGTACACAAACATTTTACTAATACCAAGCGTATGGAGAGTTTTAAAAATTGCATTTGTCTCCATACCTACTTTGTGTAATGCAATCACAGCGATTCGGTTCTCTTTACCACCCCACTCCATGTTAATATCGCAAAATATTGTACAATGTATTGGCGCCAAAATGAGAAAACTCAATGAGCAATCATATAAAAATGACAGATTCCAAATTGAAATGTAATATTTTGTTTATTTTTAATTGTAACAGTATTTATGGCCAGACTAAGTACATTTGCACCATGTAATAAAAAAAAAAATTGCACTTGTAGGCAGACGAGCATACGGCCCGCCTGATTACCGTCGCCCATGGACTTCAGCAATGACAGGTGCCGAGCCAAGCCGCTGCTTACCGTTACTTACTCTCCAACAAGCCTCGTTTGAAGAAGGATATGTCATAGCGCTCGGGAAACACCGTGAAGGGGAGCTCAATTCAAAGCCAGATGTACGTGGCAAAAATGTTTGGTTAATTAGTGCCTTAACCAAATGATTTGTTCCATCCTTGTCTAGGGGAGTGCTAGCCGTATCTCCTTTCAATAGACACAAAATCACACAAAAGTGCATAGCTATTGCATATATTTTATGGCGGGTTTTAAGCGCGTTGACTGAATCACGAAATTCCGTAACGAAAATAAAACCTAACACCCCCAATCCGCCTACCATGTAGCTCGCGTTCAACACGTTGCGCTTGTGTAGTGTTTATGAATAAGCGCGCGGCGTAACGTCGCACTGCATGCGCATCATGAAAAGTCTGCCCATTTCTCTCTCGCGCGGTCTAGCTTATGAGCGTGAAGGGGATAGTTAATGTTTTGCTTTTGTTAACGTTTATAAATATAGCGTGGTCTTATTTTATTATTGTTTTAATATTATATTATTATTGTCTAATTATAATTTTATTTTTGTTTGTATTTAATCCAACTCACCAAAGATAACGTAGATGATAGCGTAGGCGAAGTCAGTCGCGGACTGCGCTTCCCTGTAGCGCAGGCACTTCCCGCGCCGGGGGTCGTAGTACAGCCCCAGACCGAACACGGGCGCGCACGTCAGCAGCGCCGCCCAGAGCCAGGACAGCAGCAGCGCCATCCGGATCACGTAGTACGTTACTTGCTGGAACAATACACACGCTGAAGTCGTCGTGGCCTACAGGATAAGACGTCCGGTGCATTCGTATCGAGCGATGCAACGGTGTTCGAATACCGCAGGCGGGTACCAATTTTTGTAATGAAATACTTACTTAACAAATGTTCACGATTGACTTCCACGGTGAAGGAATAACATCGTGTAATAAAAATGAAACCCGCGAATTATAATTTGCGTAATTACTGGTGGTAGGACCTCTTGTGAGTCCGCACGAGTAGTTACCGCCACCCCGCCTATTTCTGCCGTGAAGCAGTAATGCGTTTCGGCTTGAAGCATGGGGCAGTCGTTGTAACTATACTGAGACCTTAGAACTTATATCTTAAGGTCAGTGGCGCATTCACGTTGTAGATGTCTATGGGCTCCAGTAACCACTTAACACCAGATGGGCTGTGAGCACGTCCACCCATCTAAGTAATAAATAAAAAAAACACCTACATACTATTGGCACTTTTTTTTTTTTTTTTATTGCCCTTGTAGGCAGACTAGCATACGGCCCACTTGAAACAACATCGCAGCGACCTGAGTACTGGTGACGATACATTGCCTCCTCGCCGAACCCGTCGCCTACGACGAAGGGCTTGGCGGGTAAATTAACCCATAGAAGTCGGCGCGTGTTTTTATAAACCATTAGTTCATGACTAATAAAGATGGGACGACAAACAACACGTGCAAGATAAGAATCGTAAACAACATCGTCCCACCACGATACCTTGCTATAAAAACGCTCCGTTGTTGTCTCTCGAGACCGGTCACCGTCCTCGTCGAACCCGTCGCTTGCGACGAAGGGCTCGACGAGCGAGCTAACCCATAGACACAGCCCACTGAGTTTCTCGCCGGATCTTCTCAGTGGGCCGCGTTTCCGATCCGGTGGTAGATTCTGCGAAGCACTGCTCTTGCTAGGGTCAGTGTTAGCAACTCTCCGGTTGAGCCCCGCGAGCTCACCTACTAACGTTAGGGTGAAGCTGAAATAGCCTCTCAAGGCTATCAGCATAGGTAGGGTAAAAAAAAAACTCTCGAGCTCAGAAGCGAGCGAGTCGCCGTATCAGACGGAACGCTCCTGCGTAATATACGCTCTGAGTTAACATTTCTGGTTTTATTGACTTATGAAGACCGCCCGCTTACCATGTCGCTACCCGAAAGTGATAATACTCCAACATAGATAGATAGAAGTTGAAGTGAAAGTATCTCTGTCTGCCCGTTTTGTGTTCACGCCTAAAGCATTGATTTTAAATTCGGTATGGAAATAGCTTGGACCCGGAATATTAATATAGAGTACCATTTATCCCACACTCATGTGACACGACAGGTGCTGACCTCACGTCGTGCCCCGGGATGAGCCGTCGGCGTGCACAATCAATTAGTGCAATACAAAATACGCGTTTACACGACTTCCATAAAGTCTGTCCGATAAAATTGAAAACTTAGGTGACACCAGCTGACCTCTACTTACATATTGTTCTTAACTTTCAGTTTAGAACCTGTGAGTTTTAATAAGAAGTTACAAATTACATCCGACGACGACGGCAACTTAAAAGATACGTTAGTTGTCTTTGTTTGTTACAATCAACTTCTGTTTCACGGCTATGAACCCTTTATTTATTTGTACAATGTATGTAGCTATGTACACATCGGTAAATTTATTAATTTGTCTATGTCTACTTAATCTGTAGTTTCAAATTCAAATTCAAAATCATTTATTTCAACTTGGATGTCATCAAAAACACACTTGTTGAATGACAAAATGTAAAAGAAAATGTTAACTCTACCACCGGTTCCAAAAAAAGCCACAGTCCTGAGAAGAACCGGCGAAACAAACTCAGCGGGCTTTTTTTTTTTTTTTTTTTTCTCAACNTTTTTTTTTTTTTTTTTTTATCAAGTATATATATTTTTAAATAAGAAATATATTTACATTATACGAAAAAACAAGTCAAAAAAATACAATTCAAATAAATAATAATAATAATGAAAAATGAAAAGGCCAGGAGCGAACGCTTCATTCCCACGTAGTGCCATCTAGTAAAAAATCGTTAACTTTATAATATGCCTTGTTGTAAGTAAGTTGTAACATTAATATTGGACTTTGACATATCTTTAATATAGCAAGAATTCTTTTTAGCGATTGTATTATAATTAGTATTAGAATTAATAAAAACTTACAAAGTTTGATGTGTATTTTCCTAAATTAATTTTATTTGACGTTGATTTTGCATTTTTTACGAAGTAGACGTTATTAATAGGTAATCGTTTCTTAAAGTAATACAAATAGTATTACACAATTTTAGTTCTAGTACTGTTTACCTATATTATAACTAAGGCTGCAGTTCGCATTTAGGTTGTTAATTATACGAACATTTTCCCGTGGATTTTCCTGTTAAAGACCTTGTTCTCACAATTAAGAACACTGCTAAGAAGAAGCCAGCCAAATCGGTGGAGCGATTCTCAAGTGATGCTGCGTCATGCACTTGCCATTTGATTTACATATTAATATAGTTTTAACATTCTTTAAAAAAATATTGTAGAAGGTGGGCCTACTTAGTAGCAAGTAAATAGCAGGACCTACTTAGGTAGGCAGCGACTTTAGACAGCGGCTGTACCCCTGGCATTGCTGACGTCCGTGAGCGACGATAACCACTTACCATCAGATGGGCCGTATGCTCGGCTACCACCAATCTTGAGACACGAGCTTAAAGTCTCAATTGTATATTATACCGATTGTTCTACCCTTTATTAGACTTCAAACCTGAATGCGTGACTGTCTCGCTGCAATATAGGGAGGATGGAGGTACCCACATAAGCGGAGTAAGACTACGACCTACCATCAGTAAAGATCCCGTCCTGAAGGTGATGTATCTAGAAGATATTAACGGCGACTTGATGGTGCGCATAAGTCGGTAAAATTGAAGGCAGGAGTGACATAAAGATAAAAGTGTCTCAAATATCTCACATACGTGAGGAATGGCTAAACTTTTCTCATATCTATGTGATATGAGGGAGCATGTGTTCCAAAAAACATATATTCGGAATATTAAAACGTATTTGATTTGTTTGCAACAGCTTGTCGGCTACGCTTGTGCTCTGCGAGAACTCATCTCATACACACGTGCACATGTATAGTGTTAGGTTCTCAAGGTCGAAGCGCCAATAATGCTCGCCCGCTTTCCTCACATCCAAGGGTCGTGACCATCCACTTTCAAAAGGCTTTATAATGTTGCATCTACCACACATCGCATCTGTTTTGTTTTAATAGATATGTTATGTTCCGTTGTGCCACCCGTGTTGCTCTTAGTGTTTTCCTCCAACAATATACGGTTAATGTAACCAGTACAAATTCAATGAACTACTCAATAACAAAGTGTGCTGTATCAAAATGACTGGATAATTTCATACAGTCTTATCGTCCATTTAGCCTGATCCCTGCGATATGTTAATTGTATGAGCGGCTGATTAGCAAACGCCTCTGGAGCTTTGCCATCTCGAAAGGCATTCACATTCCGCGCCAAACTCTTATGTCCAAAAAGTGCATCGCCTCACGAAGCACATCTTATTAGGACTCAACAGAAAAACACCCGTCCCCGGGAGACCTCTCCTTTGATATCGTGAAGTCTTCGACATATCTGGCACAACGATTTAATTTACAAACTGTATAACACGAGCATGCCAAATTATGTCATGTTACGAGTCAGTGAGCTTACTTACTCGTCCGAAGGCAGCTAAAATAGGCCCTTAGGTTTCTAGCGATTAGGTAAAAAATTATATAACAGCTGTCACCGTCTAATTGTAAAGCAAATATACTTTACCGCCCAGAAGCAGGCGGGGTGGTGAGACTAAGCGGTGTTATTTCATGACTGTCTGGCCAATATTACCAAATGTTCTATGAATCTGTTCGATATTTCGAACATATCTTAAGAACGATGGCATCATTGTACCATCAGGCCATCCAGACAACCAGGTATAAGCGAAACTGCCCGTATATGCCCGAAAAATATTCATCCGAGTTATTGTTTTCAAAATAAACAAAATAATAGAAATTAAAAGACAAAGCTTAAAAGGTGTTTTTTTTTATTGCCCTTGTAGGCAAGCGAGCATACGGCCCACTTGACGGTGAGTGGATACCGTCGCCCATGGACTTCAGCAATGCCAGGGGCAGAGCCAAGCCGCTGCCTACCGCTTACTACTCTCCACAAGCCTCGTTTGAAGAAGGACATGTCATAGCGCTCGGGAAACACCGTGGAGGGGAGCTTATTCCATAGCCGGATGGTACGTGGCAAAAAAGATCTCTGGAAACGCACTGTGGATGACTGCAGTGGCTCCAGGTAGTACTCTACTCCGGTGGCGGGCGGTGCGATGGTAAAAACGAGATGCCGGTATCATCTCGAACAATTCCTCAGAGTACTCCCCATGGAACATACGGTACAAAATACAGAGGGAACCGAAGTCCCTCCGCAGACCCAGAGGTTCCAAAGGATCCGTGAGAATGGGATTATCGACAATCCGAACGTTTTTTTAGGCGTAAATGATTAGAAAAAATATTTAAAGTTTAAAAGTTGTGGGTTGGCACTTTATAATTCGGTATAAATTCAATTCTCTATTAATCCAGCATTTAAATGCGCAGGCATTTAAATTATTTAATTTATTTAACGTAGTAGTTAATCAGAATTATTCATACCCTTTCAAAATAATCGTCCCGATTATCCTCAAATACCACATTTATAACGGCTCAAAATCGAAATCTACAAAATAAACTGAATATACAAATATATGTAAGTGGAGCCTAGCGTTTGTGGTGGCTCAATATTTTACAATTGTAATTAGGAATACGTGGAATATTTAAGTCGATATACCTACTCGAGTTTGTAGGTGATTATGTGCATAAACCTAAGGACAGTGTTCTTATAGATTGTAAATACACAAAAGAAAAAAAGGAAACCATAATAAAGTAAATGAAAACAAATAATTCAATAAATTCA